GTGTCACCATCTTGAAACACCGACTTCGGTGGCTTGGACATGTTTTACGAATGTCGTCCCAGACACTTCCACGTCGTGCATTATTTGCCGACCCTGGGACTGGTTGGAGAAAGCGGAGAGGAGGTCAGTGTATGACATGGTGTCGTGGCATGAAAGAAAGCTGCAAAGGGCTAGCTTTTGTTGGTCCTTCACGACTCCCTGGTTGGGGTCCGAGAGATAGTGCAACACAGTGGCTAGAGACGTTATCAGATATGGCTCAGAATAGAAGCCAGTGGCGATCCTGCTGCAACCTTCTTTTACTTTCTACATAAAGAATGGTTCTAACTTTCCTAACTGAAAGAGTCTTCTGGTTGTACATTTCAGCCCGCCTTATCTTTTCATCCCTTCTCTTCCTACTTTCATTATTTTGTGTGGCGCATATGTATCTGGTGCCCTTTTGTACCAATATATATGTGTTTAAATAAATAAATAAATAAATAACGGGTGTGGGCCCCTAAGAAAACCACCTGCATCAGTTCGGGCACCTAGGCAGTATCACAGCCATCAAGCAAATCGAATGAGATTTGTATGGCGCATATCTATCTGGTGCTTCCTTGTACCAATATTTATGTGTTCAAATAAATTTAAATAAATAAATAAGATCAAAAGACTGCATTTTGTTGGTGTCTACACCGAATGGGACTGTCATCGGCTAGGATTTTTGATTGTGTACACTGGAATAATTTTCATAATGTAGATTAAATGAAAACTTAATAAGTTAGCAGAAATATGGATACATCGACGACATACTCTAATGGAGTTTTAACAATTATATAGTTCATAGGCATTAAAAATACTTGATATATATCGTGTCTATATTTATTAAATATTTTTCTTACTAATGAATTTGATTAAAACTGAACAATACAAAAGAATGATTTAGTATATTCATTTGTATGTTAGCGGGAAACAAACCGGATTAAGGCACGTTATGTGCATGATCGTGACGGCGCACGCTGATTGGCTAATTCTAGACCAATCAGCTCTGGCAGATTATTGGAGAAAGGTCTAGAAGCCTCTTATGCATATACTATAAAAATATGAACGTTTTTCTAACGGTTGATTGCTGTTCACTTACTCTTGTTATTTTGAATATAATTTCGTTCCTATTCAACCTGTTCTGATTTTGGGATCTTGTCGAGTGTCATTGTATAAGAAAACTAAGCAATAGGAGTAGGTGGGTCGTTTATTAGCAATAAGATTAAAACAGTATACATTAGGGATGAATTGATATTAAGTCTGTTATGTTTAACTAACAATTAGAGCATATTCAGACAAATGTTTGACAATCTTAATGTACCAATAAAGTGGCCTTATCAAAGCAGCTTGTTAAGCGAGTTTTACCCATACTAGCACATAATAATAATAATAATAATAATAATAATAATAATAATAATAATAATAATAATAATAATACAGTCAGTTATATCACATTCTCAGTTGATATGAATGAAAACACAAGATATGTGATTATTCTGTTTTCAATATTGATCAATAATATGACATGCTACATTTCCGCTTTTTATATGTGACTTTAGAAATGAATTGAACATGTATTAATGAGTATTGAAACTCAAATACATTATATTTAATAGATTAGTCAGTTAGTCATCATCACTGCACAACCTGACAGGAATGTACAACGGTCCAAGCCAGTACATCACACAACAGTATAACGAGAGAGGGAGAATTAATAAGATGAGAAACGAGAGAGTTTGGCTAGGAATTATAACTACAATGGAAATTAAAGATATTGGATAGCGAAATGAGTGAAATTCGTATATCATTCCATGAAAAAAGTTGAATATTAACTATGCTTAAGATAGTAAAAAGCAAAAATCAACTAAAAGGATAACGATTGCAGTTTGAAAAATAAAAGAAAGATTAAAAGAAACTGGCCAGACACAACACAGAACTTCGTACGTACGTACATCATTTCGAGTTGCCATACCACATTTCCACAGAGATGAAGTTGTCGATTCAAATCCCATATTGGTAGAAGTAGTAACAGTATAAGCAGTAATCGGAAAGATTAGGGTTCGAAGATGTTATTGAAGGAGTATAATAAGGTGAAGTAAATTTGAAAAGAGAAAAAAGACAAACATGAAGAACACAGAAGATTAGAATTTGGCAGAACACAAAGAGTGGATGCACCTGCTGCGCCATTGCCAACGATTTTGAGCCATGTCATTCAAGGTCTCTAACCATCGGTTGCTATCATCTCGCGGATTCCAACCAGTTAGTCTACATCAACCAACAAGGCTCAGTCCACTTGTCAGTGACTTCATGGATTTTTGCCATGTTTTGGTTTTGTCGCCCCTAGATTTCTTCCAACCTGCTCCTACACCATAAAACATTGCATGTCGGGGCAGTCGGTGGTTGGGCATACGTAACACGTGTCCCAGACATTTCAACTGATGAGGTATCACAACCTAATCAATTGATTTGCCATCCTTACCTAGTACCCGTTTCCTAACATCTGCATTACTAACTCGGTGGTCCCAAGATATACGAGCAATGCTTCGAAGACACTTAGTAGCCTACGAATATCCTCTACTCTTACCGGCCATGTTTCACTGCCATAAAGTAGAACAGAACTAACTTTTTATTTATTTATTATTTATTTGAACACATAAATATTGGTACAAGGAAGCACCAGATACATATGCGCCATAAAAATCTCATTCGATTTGCTTGATGGCTGTGATATCGCCCACGTGCCCAGACTGAAGCAGGTGGTTTTCTTAGGGGGCCACACCCGGAGCCTATGACTGAAAGATCTGATCCACAAGGCAGTGGAGCACGTGAGGAGATGCAGTCCCATGGTAGCCGGTGATCAATGATTGATTCGTACGCCATTTGTTCCATCAGGATACTGGAGCCCATGTGCACCATTGGTTTGGAATCGCGGTTTTACAACTCCCCTAGGTGGACTCGCCGTATCCACCAACCCGGTTAAAGCGCCGGACATTTGCTTTTCGTCCTCTCAATTTCGTAAACAACACCCCCGCCACGAGAAGGCAGTGAGTAGGACTTCCCTGTCAGAGGCTATATATTCGCTGGCCATGTGAGAGCATTTCAAGAGGGAGAGCGGACTCTCCCCAATCTCGGCCATACCAGGGCATTTGGGGGCACAGAACGAACTGCTGAGCAGTAAACCTGTCCTTTGGTTGCTAGACGGATATCTCGCATACGCCACAAATGAAGCAAGTTTCCGTGCTGAAATTTCGTCATACACCGGACCATAAGGGCTGATGAGACTCCCAAGATAAGTGAAGCTGTCAACACGCTCAACTACTTCACTCACTATCATTAGTTCAGGTGCCGATGCAACCCAATCCTGAAGTAATATTTTGCACTTCGAGGGGGGAGAATCGCATCCCGAGCATGCCTGCATTGTTGCTTATAGTGGTCAGAAAACTCTGCATTTAGTCAGCGTCTTCACGAAATAGAACTATGTCGTCGGCGTATTCTAAGTCAACAAGTGAGTCTCCTGGTAGAAGTTCAAGTCCTCTAAACTTTGATGAGGGAAGAATTATTTCTAAAAGCACGTCTATGATAAAGTTGAACAAGAATGGAGAGAGTGGACAGCCCTGACGAACACCACTTGAGGTAATCAATCAAAAGGAATTGGTAGATCATATGTAATTGATTTTAGTATATCACATAAAATACTGTATGAGTGTCTAAATGACACTGATAGCAAGAACGAATGTACAGATTTATTTTAAAACAAATAGTTTTGGTTTGTTGAGATGAATATATGAATGATGCTGTAAACTAGATGAAATACAAATGAATACATCAAAGTTAACTTTATGCACTGTGTCAATCAAGTGTGGAGCAATTATATTAACCTATCAGTTGAAAAGATCTCAACTTTTAACTGCTAGATCACCAGTTTGGTACCTACAGCAATATCTATTAGCAATATGATTAGATTTCTCCTTCATACCCTTTTAAATTTGTAGCAGCTTGTGTCGAATCGATAAATGACTTTGATTGTTTAAAAAAGGTCAAAAACAGAAGTTTGTACTTTAAAAGCGATTTGTTTTAGATACTTTTGTGTTATATCATTTAGATGTTTAAAACATCATTAGTCCCTGCCTACTTCACAGCCGGAATGAAGATGAAAGCCTTGCAATCAAACCCTCTAGTTTAGATAATAGAACAGCACTAAAAACATTCACCTGAACTGCAAATCTTCGTCATTTTAGTAACAGTTTGTAAAGTATGTGAATTTATGCAGAATTCCTATTGGTATTTACACCTATTAAGCTAATGAAACCAACAAACTTTGAGATCTACTATCGACCAATATAGAAGTCTTTCTAATTTCTAAAAATTAATTACACTCATATGTTAATAAATACTTTAGCTTATGTTATGTCTTGAGATGTTATTCAGTATCAAGTGCTATATTGCCTAATCAGAATTTCAATTATCGACCAGTCCATTCAGATTACCAGTAGGATCGGTAACTTTCTAAGTACCGATTGACACACTAATTAATAGACATCACCTAAGACCTTAACACATATTGGTCGTCAAGCTCCTTTTTAAACTACTAGCCAATCACAGGACGCAGACAGGAAGTATAATAGTTCCCTACTATACTCAAACTCATACAATAATATACTCGAAACGTTTAAGCACACAGCACATTGAATAAAAAATCCTGATTGGGACACAATCATAAATGGTATAGGGAGGAGCAAACAATACATAATTAGTTAGCGATACTTAAGTAATAGTAAAACTTATAACGACAGTTGATAGGTCCACTGAAAACTTACAAGGGAAATATAAAAATGCTACGATACAGTTATCTATTACTCATACAATGAAAATATAGAAGACAATAATCCGAGAAGTAGCTCCTAAAATCCCAAATATAAGAATATTCATCCCGTTATTAGAAGCCTACACTTAACAATCCAATAAAAAACACGGACACTTACTTTTACAGGGTTATTCAAACAATTAGAATTGCTTTTATTATATGCTAGTGATTTTCCATCAGCAACCAGTGTCCTTGACAATGATGTTGAATAATGTACCACGGGTTTATCAACTAAACTAGAAAATTTAGTATTTTGATCAAACGTATTTTCAGTATTGTATTGAAATTTTTCGGCTCCATCCAACTGACTACAATTATTGCCATTATCAATATTATTATTAATGGCAGTAACAGTAGCAGTAGTCAGAGTAGAAGCAATAGTACTGGCTTCCGTTATAGTATTTGACAGTTTAAGCACATCATCTGTAGAACAAAGTAAAAATGAATACAATACACTATCAAAATATTACTTAAAAAAGAGGAGACGATGAAAACGGAATAAGATCATGACTCTACATTGCTTTACCTATTAAGTGTAATTATCATCAAGCAAGCTTAGGATGCTATTACTATTATTACTTACTTACTCTTGTTACTCCTTGTGGAGGAGCATAGGCAGCCTATCAGCACTCTCCATCCAACTCTGTCCTGGACAATCCTCCCCAGTTGTTTCCAGTTGCTATTCATCCTTTTTGTCTGCTTCCAATTCTCTGTGCAGTGTGTTCTTTGGCCTTCCTTTTTTTCACTTCCCTTCAGGATTTCATGTTGGCGTTTGCCTCGTGATGCAGCTTGGTGATTTTCGTAATGTCTATCCTATCTGCGTCCACCGCCTTTTCCGAATTTCCTCCTCAGTTGAATGTTGGTTTGTCCTCTTCCACAGTAGGGTGTTACTGATGGTATCCGGCCAGTGAACGTTGAGTATCTTGTGTAGACAATTGTTTATAAATACTTGTACATTTTTGATGACGGTTGTAGTAGTTCTCCACGTCTCAGCTCCATACAGTAGGACTATCTTGACGTTCGTACTGAAGATTCTGACTTTGATGTTGGTTGAAAGTTGTTTTGAGTCCAGCATGTTCTTTAACTGTAGGAACGCTGCCCTTACCTTGCCAATCCTTAACATTAATTCTTTTGAGATTTACAATGAAAATGCTGTATGTTTGAACATTGTAAATCTAAAAAATATGAAAAGTCGTGACCAAAGGAGTCAAATTCGTGTCGCGTGTGACCGTTATCTATCCAAGGATGGAGGGTTGCTTCAAGATCATGGGTTGATTACAGTTAGACAATAACACCGTTGGCTGGTGACTCAGTGGTCTAGACATTATAGGTTCGTGTGCGATACCGAAGGTTCCGAGTTCGAATCCCACGTATGGGGTCAAAGGTTAGCATTATTAAGGAGCCACATATTGGAACGACATGGCCATCCAGTGCTTCCAGATTTTCAACAACGGTCTAGTTTATATCAAGTCGTGATTTCAACTGTGAAAATATTAAAAATATCCTGTCAACTCAGCTGCCATAGGACATTTTTACGAATTTATCAACAAAAACAAAATAAACTTACTATTCGACAGACGAGAATCAGTGGAGAGACTGAAAAGAAAGTTGAAAAGATAAACATTCTTAAAATTCTGGAGTTTTTTAGCAAAGTAAACTATGTATTTTTTATTGTTTGTGGTTAATCATATGAAATCAAATTGACAATGCTTTGTGTATGCGTTTTATAAAGACCGATTTAAAGAGAATCTACTGGCAAAATTTGTAAAAGTTAGAAGATGCTCCTACTAGATCAACATCGAATTTACTATGTTTAACTAAGGTGTGTGTGTGTGTATAAGTGAGAGGGGGATTTAAAAATTTTGATTATTAGTTCGATCAAGCAAGCAGTGCATAAACTATGTGCATAGGCTACATTAACATCAATTTACAAAAGATATACTGCAAGCAATGTAGCATTGCTCTCTTATCGATCATACGGAACTTCAAGGCAAAGGCAATAGAAATAAGATGCAGTGGGAGTAACAGTTCCCATTCATTGTGGAGCCACTAAAGAAATGGCATTCAAAGCAATGCAAATCATGCAACTTTTGACCTGGTACTACTAAACGTGTTGAGCAAGTAGATACTCCGATTTTATAAACGAAAATTAAAGCGGAATATCACAATTATAATTCGTATGTTTAAACTCTTTTTATGTTCAATTGAAGAGAATCTATTAAATCACTTCCAAATTACTTTACGCGAAATACAAGCTACTGAAATATAAAATTATTTTATGAATCATCGAAATTATTTCCGACTACCATGGAATTACATCAGCAAGAACTAGATACATCATGCTGCCTATCAGAGCGAACAAGCTGAAATGGCTAGTATATACCTGGCTAGTGCAGATAGCTTCTTTGGAGTATCCCTTAGCCATATGTTGTCAGAATGTTAAATTTATGGCAATATCCTAGTTTCACGAATTGATTGGTGTTACAATAAAACTTACTCAAATTTATTTGCAGACATTTCAAAAATTAGTCTACTCCACTACGATTACAAACGCAGGAAGTTACGAAATGATGCGAAAATAGTAGCTAAAAAAGGGTGGTATTTACTGCGATTGTGTTTACTAAGATAAGTGGTTACATTGTGGAGTTCATAGTGTCAGTATAAATACATTATCAGCATTTAATTCAAACTGAATCTTGTCGAAAAATTCCATGAAGCCTTCAAGATTATGAACCACCCATTTCTGAGAATGTAATACGTTCAAGTGATAATAAATATGCCAGAGTGGATTATGTCAATCTCGGTTACCTTTGGTATCATGATGTTAGTCTGATTGTAAAAAGCTGAGTTCACAACGCATCGCTAAGAGCAGCTTAGTTCTATACTTGCGGAACTTGAACTTATTGAACTAAGGATGTTAGAAGACTCTGAGTTCGACTATCGCTGTATCTGAACGATTGCTGACAATCAGTGGCAAAACGATGTTAGTAATGAAGAGGTTCAGCAATGTGTGTTAGGGGATGTCAACGATAACTTACTTGACGTCCCCATTACAAAACACCGCCGGGGGTGACTCGAACATGTACTGCGAGCATTACAATGGCTTTCACATGGTGCTTCATTAGTTCACGAAGGACTGACTGGGAAAAACGCAGATGTATTCAGTTTATGACGAGGCGCCGAGCTATGAAAGAAGGCTGTATAAAATTGTCAACTATAAGTCTATCACAACACCCTAGTTGAGGTCCGAGAGAGAGTTCAACTGAGTAGCTTGAGATGTTATCAAACATGTCTCAGAACAAAGACCATTGACGATCCTATTGTAATGTTTTCTACTTTCTTGTAAAAGAGAAAGAAACTTCTTAGAATGAAAGGATTCTTACTAGTTGTACTTTTCTTAGATGAACTGCTTCTCTCATTATACACTACTCTCGTCCACTTCATTTTACTAATTAAATTATTTCTTTGACTACATTGCCTCTTCTGTATCTATAACTTCAGAATTCTACTTACTAGTTTGTGTGGTGTATATTTATTTTGGTGTTCATTTGTGCTAACATTTGTGTTCAAATAAATAAATGAAATATATTACTTTCGTACTGTAATCTGGCTGAAAAAAAAAATTACTCATATCTAAGAGGTCAACTTACTCGTCTGTACAGTTTAGTAAACAGGAATTCATAGATGGATCATAATTTGGAGAAAAAACGGCCAATTGAGCTAGCGATCGACTGGATTCATTTAACACATGGTTTTGTTTCTTCTCACATAAAGGAATTTCCCGATTATTCCTATTAATTTTTGGTGCTGCTTCATAAAACAGATTATTACGAGGCCAAACATAAGTAACTAATTTATTATTTCCCTCAGTGCTCGTACTATGATTTGAATTATTAGATAAACTGCCAGATTTACACAAGTTTTCTTCGATCAGACGTAAATGATTTAAAACAATAGTAGAATTTAAACGATTAGCAAGATATCCTAACGCCTGTAAACTTAAAACTGAAAGCGTATTATGACTGTCGAAAACTCCACGACATATCTAAGGATAATAAAAAAAATTTAGAAATGCACATCATTAAAGGTAAAACCTACAAAAAAGAGTATATTAGCAACATTAACGAAATTATATACCAGACATCAACACATAACCAACTAGATATTATTCAACTTCGAAAAAGAATTAACGGAGATTAGTAAAAGTACAGATGCAAAAATCACATGCATCTTATAATTAAAGAATACAGTTTTCGTAATTAAAAAAATACCTTCTGCTAGAACATGAACTCGATTTATTTATTTATTTAAACAAATACATATTCGTGTAAAGAGGCACCAGATATATATACACCATACAAAACAATGAGAATAGGGAGAGAAAAAAGGAAGATGCTCATACACATAGGAGAAAAAATGAAAAAAAGGATGAAAAAAAGAAAAGCATTCATGTGCAATACTGAAATGAAGTACAGGAAGACTCATTAAGTTAAAACAGTTAGAACCACTCTTTATGAAGACGGTAAAATATAATTAAAACTGAATCGCCACTGGCTTCTATTCCGCGCCGTAACACACGCCAACAAACACAGAAACACACAATCAACAAGGCATTCACATCGAACACCACACACAACACAATCACCAATCCACACTCCAACATTCCGAACATCAATCATTCAACAACAAACAACACCTATAGCTGGAACTTAAACCCGATACGCATGTCACGCTCGAGAGCTATATCCCAGCATTCCATATAGCATATTGAATCGATACAACATTGTCCACGAACGACAATGACTCGAACACATATGCACAGGCCAATGCACTCAACACAAAACAAAGACCACATCCAACCATCACAACTCAATCATCACACGCCAACAAACACAGAAACACACAATCAACAAGGCATTCACATCGAACACCACACACAACACAATCACCAATCCACACTCCAACATTCCGAACATCAATCATTCAACAACAAACAACACCTATAGCTGGAACTTAAACCCGATACGCATGTCACGCTCGAGAGCTATATCCCAGCATTCCATATAGCATATTGAATCGATACAACATTGTCCACGAACGACAATGACTCGAACACATATGCACAGGCCAATGCACTCAACACAAAACAAAGACCACATCCAACCATCACAACTCAATCATCACACGCCAACAAACACAGAAACACACAATCAACAAGGCATTCACATCGAACACCACACACAACACAATCACCAATCCACACTCCAACATTCCGAACATCAATCATTCAACAACAAACAACACCTATAGCTGGAACTTAAACCCGATACGCATGTCACGCTCGAGAGCTATATCCCAGCATTCCATATAGCATATTGAATCGATACAACATGGTCCACGAACGACAATGACTCGAACACATATGCACAGGCCAATGCACTCAACACAAAACAAAGACCACATTCAACCATCACAACTCAATCATCACACGCCAACAAACACAGAAACACACAATCAACAAGGCATTCACATCGAACACCACACACAACACAATCACCAATCCACACTCCAACATTCCGAACATCAATCATTCAACAACAAACAACACCTATAGCTGGAACTTAAACCCGATACGCATGTCACGCTCGAGAGCTATATCCCAGCATTCCATATAGCATATTGAATCGATACAACATTGTCCACGAACGACAATGACTCGAACACATATGCACAGGCCAATGCACTCAACACAAAACAAAGACCACATCCAACCATCACAACTCAATCATCACACGCCAACAAACACAGAAACACACAATCAACAAGGCATTCACATCGAACACCACACACAACACAATCACCAATCCACACTCCAACATTCCGAACATCAATCATTCAACAACAAACAACACCTATAGCTGGAACTTAAACCCGATACGCATGTCACGCTCGAGAGCTATATCCCAGCATTCCATATAGCATATTGAATCGATACAACATTGTCCACGAACGACAATGACTCGAACACATATGCACAGGCCAATGCACTCAACACAAAACAAAGACCACATCCAACCATCACAACTCAATCATCACACGCCAACAAACACAGAAACACACAATCAACAAGGCATTCACATCGAACACCACACACAACACAATCACCAATCCACACTCCAACATTCCGAACATCAATCATTCAACAACAAACAACACCTATAGCTGGAACTTAAACCCGATACGCATGTCACGCTCGAGAGCTATATCCCAGCATTCCATATAGCATATTGAATCGATACAACATTGTCCACGAACGACAATGACTCGAACACATATGCACAGGCCAATGCACTCAACACAAAACAAAGACCACATCCAACCATCACAACTCAATCATCACACGCCAACAAACACAGAAACACACAATCAACAAGGCATTCACATCGAACACCACACACAACACAATCACCAATCCACACTCCAACATTCCGAACATCAATCATTCAACAACAAACAACACCTATAGCTGGAACTTAAACCCGATACGCATGTCACGCTCGAGAGCTATATCCCAGCATTCCATACAGCATATTGAATCGATACAACATTGTCCACGAACGACAATGACTCGAACACATATGCACAGGCCAATGCACTCAACACAAAACAAAGACCACATCCAACCATCACAACTCAATCATCACACGCCAACAAACAAAGAAACACACAATCAACAAGGCATTCATATCGAACACCACGCACATATATATATTTATGTTGATTTGCATAATTACGATGAGATTGGTCATGAGATAATACGATATTGTATTTAACATATTTGTAGTCCGTAGCAAGCTTAGCATTAATGTGTTGGTTTACAATAACAATATGCCTCACTCTATTATCCTAATAGAGCAGGCGATCACAAATCACAGAGACAATGAGAGTCACATTACTTTCTGGTGACTGACTAATATTATTGAATTATTAAAAACTGAGAGAATGAGTTACCATTAAACGTTGCAACAAAATATAAACGATATAGATAAAGAATAAAGACCATTCGTAACTGTGTTAGAAATATTATGTTAAAAATTTGACGCTAAATGCAATTATACTTACTTGTGGTAATATCACATTTAACAAATCACTATCAGTTAGTACTTTTAAATAGCCAGTGAAATGCTGAAGTAGTAAAATACGCGTATGTCTCTCGTTAACCATAAATTTCTGAACAATTAAAGGATTGACAAACTTCTGAAAATTTTGAAGAGATATGATCAATTTGGGTTTGGGTGACTCCTGATGGTTTTCTAGATTAAAAACCAAACAGCCAATAATGGATAATCAAAATCAAACCAAAAACAAATGAAGTTAATTGATAACAAGAAAGTATATTTACCCGTATATGTAATCAACACTGTGAAAAACAAAATAAGAACTCGATAACTAAATATGTTAATATTTCAAGCCACTAGATTATGCGAAGATAAAGAAAACTACCAATTTGCTGTTAGTTATAACGATGGTTTCATGGAAATAAAATTCGTCACTGCATCATTTCACTAGAAAAACACAGTAGCATATGCTCAACTAAGAGAGAATCACATTACCAACTAAATGAAAAATCGGTTTTCAAGTCCTTCAAATTGTATTTCTTAATTAATAAATCGGATCGGAACTCCTATGATGGACTAAACTGCCAAATCGTCCACGGAGGACAACTCACCGACTCGTTTGAAGTAAAGACCGGTGTCAGGCAAGGTTGCTTACTCTCACCCTTTCTCTTTCTCCTGGTCATCGACTGGATCATGAAGACGTCAACATCTGGAGGAATGAGCGGGATACAGTGGACAGGCAGGATGCAGCTTGACGATTTAGACTTCGCGGATGATCTGGCTCTTCTATCACAAACGCAACAACAAATGCAGGAGAAAACGACCAGTGTAGCAGCAGCCTCAGCAGCAGTAGGTCTCAATATAAACAAAGAGAAAATCAAGACTCTCCGATACAATACAATATGCACCAATCAAATTACACTTGACGGAGAAGCTTTGGAGGATGTGAAACCCTTTTCATATCTAGGCAGCATCATTGATGAACACGGTGGATCAGATGCAGATGTGAAAGCGAGGATCGGCAAAGCAAGAGCAGCATACCTACAACTGAAAAGCATCTGGAGCTCAAAACAATTGTCAACCAACACCAAGGTTAGAATTTTCAATACAAATGTCAAGACAGTTCTACTGTATGGGGCGGAGACGTGGAGAAATACGAAAGCCATTATCCAGAAGATACAAGTGTTCATCAACAGCTGTCTACGCAAAATACTTCGGATCCGATGGCCAGACACTATCAGCAATAAGTTACTGTGGGAGAGAACAAACCAGATTCCAGCAGAGGAAGAAATCAGGAAGAAGCGCTGGAAGTGGATTGGGCACACCTTGAGGAAAGCACCCAACTGCGTCACAAGACAAGCCCTCACATGGAATCCTGAAGGTCAACGGAGAAGAGGAAGACCAAAGAACACATTACGCCGAGAAATGGAGACAGACATGAGAATAATGAACAAGAACTGGATAGAACTAGAAAAGGAAGCCCAGGACAGAGTGGGTTGGAGAAAGCTGGTCGGCGGCCTATGCTCCATTGGGAGTAACAGGCGTAAGTAAGTAAATCGGATCACTTTTTTTATCAGAAGCGAAACGTGACCATAAAGAGTAGAAGATACTTGTAAGTTACTAGCATTTGATAACAGACGTGTTAGAAATATTTCTCGCATCTGCTGGGATCACCGCGTAAGTAATAGTGAGGCTAGACACATGGTATTAGGGAATGATGGTTAGTCAGTTGATGAGGTTGTAAATCTTCACCGACTGAGATGGTTGGGCCACGTGTTACGTATGCCTAAACACCGATTACCACGACGCGCAATGCTGACTAGTGTTAGGGATGGTTGGAAGAGAGTAAGGGTCGGTCAAACCAAAACGTGGCATCAGTGCTTGAAGTCACTAACTTCTGGTCTTAGCCATGTTGGTAGATGCAGACTACTTGATTGGGGTACACGTGACTATCGTAACCAGTGGTTGGAGACTCTGGGTGACATGGTTTAGAATTGATTATAATGGCATAGGTGTATACACTTTCAGTCTTCCCTCAAACTTTGAGATTAGAATTATTTTATACTTCTTTCTACGCACTAGTTTTTTCTCCCTGTATCATTTCCTTATATACAATCTTTTTTTATATATTACTACCAGTGTTTATCTCGTTGTGCCAATGAGGTGTGGCAACTTAGACCGATGCATATATGTGCATTGTCCCATATCGTTGATAACTGACTGGCTGTTCACAAACAACGATGACTCGAACATATATGTACAAAGCAATGTGCTGAACACGAAACACCGAGCACATCCACACAGCATACGATCTGGGATGTACATTGGGAGGGATTTACACTATTTTGAAAACTACCAAATACATATCCTGAACTAACTACTTGAAAATATGTTTGCTTTGTCACTCTATTTCGAATATTTTCACCTGTAATAAATACATAGTTTCCTTATTTCATGTTGAAAAAAAGAATCTCCAGTCAGGAAACAGGCTTTTGAAAAGACGAAAGTGTAACCACTTAAAACATTCATGACCAAGATGAGTGAAAATGGTGGGTAATTCCAAACACTACTCAGAATAGCAAGTCCGAATGAAAGTTCATCATTAAATCATGAAATAACATAGGTTTTTCAATAAACAGCTCTTGAGGTGATATATTTACTAGGTATCTACGTGTTGAACACTGAAGGTCAAAGAAATTAAGTGATGTTTTTAGTCTAGTAAATGCTACTAGATGTGTCCGTTAGCGTGCAGGTCTAGTGAAAGATTTGTTCTGGGAAATTTTAATGTCCCATGTTGATGCTTGCCTTGGTATTGTGAAGAGCGGGAACATGAGTTGTAGTAACGTAATGTGTGGCTATGTGTACCTTGGGCCAGTATTTGAGTTGCAGTACATTAATGTTTAAAGTTGTAATAGAACCAATTACGAAACATACGAACGTATGGAACAAAACACCTCACATAAAAGTTCCCCTAATAAAAATAAAGCTATAAAATTAATAGCTAGAAATCAAAATGAAAACACACCTTCGCAAGCGTGGAAAATCTGTGCAAGTAAGGTTTGGGTTGGATAATCAAGAAAAATAGTGTTTTCAAACATTTTTGGTAAAATGTTGCGACAAAACAACTCTTCTGATATCCTGTTAAATACTTTTTCTGTAAATGATCTAGGTTTCAAGAAAAAAGAACGAGAAAGGTTAATAGCCAAGTGTAGGTTTATGTGTAGGGAGTTTGAGCCAGTGATACTACTCGATTATGTCCATCAACGTAGTTAAGATTAGATTTGGAACTGAGTCCCAATAGTTAAAAGTTGTGCTTTGACTACTAAGGAGATGGTTTAGTGTTTAAAGAAGTCTTCTTCCAACCGGATTCCGAGTTTAAAACACGTTTTGCTAGCTCCGTGGTATCGCAAGCTTTCAATATGTTCCAAAGTCAAGTATATAGATCAATATTTGATGAGTAAATTATATTAAAAGACATCATTTTGAAAAGGCCTATTGTAGTGAACTTTCTTCACATTAGGTTGGCGCTAAACCTTTTAATTACCTTCAAAATCTCTATCCTGTGTTATATATTTGCCCCCAAATGCCCTGGTACGGTCGAGAGAGGGGAGAGTCTGCTCTCCCTCTCGAAATGCTCTCATATGGCCACGCGTATATAGCCTCTGCCAGGGAAGTCCTACTCACTGCCTTCTCGTGGCGGGGGTGTTCTTTACGAAATTGAGAGGACGAAAAGCGAATGTCCGGCGCTTTAACCGGGTTGGTGGACACGGAGAGTCCACCTAGGGGAGTTGGAAAACCCTGATTCCAAACCAATGGTGCACATGGGCTCCAGTATCCTGAAGGAACGAATGGCGGACGAACCTGTCATTGGTCAACGGCTACCATGGGACTGCATCTCCTCACGATGCTCCACTGCCTTGTGGATCAGACCTTTTGGTCAAAGGCTCGGGGTGTGGCCCCCTAAGAAAACCACCTGCTTCAGTCTGGGCACCTGGGCAGTATCACAGCCCACACACAAATTATTTTGTGAGGCGCATATGTAGCTGGTGCCCTTTTGTACCAATATATATGTGTTTAAATAAATAATAATAAATAAATATATATAACCCATTATACCAAGAGGTCTTACAGTATTATTTGGGTACCGAAAACCCTAGTAACTCTGTCTAAAGCCTTTGCTAAAACTTTGATTGGAATGATTAAATTAAATGGTCCAAGCCAATGATATCCACATTCAGTATTTTCATTTAATTTTGTAATTCATATGTTCTAAGGTGTTTACCCTTATTAGGATATGACTTTAGTTTGAAGACTGTTATCAACTCGAAGTAAGCGAACAGAAGTCCAGTTTGATGAATATGTTAATGGCATGAAAAGCAAGAATTGGACCTAACGATTAGGTCCTGATCAACTGGAGTAGGCTACCTAAAAACTAATGCCCTTTAGCAGCCTATGATATTTCATTATGTTATGCATATAAACATGTGACTTTATTGGATATATAAACATTTCTCTCTGGTTTGTAGTATTTTTCTTAATTTCAAGTCATTCGGGAACTTAAGTCAGTAAATCGCTCCGTAAGTAGCCACTTCTTATCAGCGCGCTAATCAATAAGTCAGCATTATTTTCATTGTCACTATTGGGATTTGACAAAAAAAAAGAAATATGAGACCCTGTTTTATAACAGCTGACCAAATACCAAATTTTCTGAAAGCTTACAATGACACTTTAAGAATGTTGTTATCTTTCGAATACACAGTTTTGCTTGACAATTGATTCCCATAAGCTTTGAGTCCGACCAAGGAAAGTGGATTTATCTGGTGCAATCTGTCATCCAATGGTCCGGACAATTGGTTATGGTAATTGCACGGACCCCAGCTAAACAGTTCCCACTTGCCAACAAGCCTAAGACCCTCAAATACCCTGGTACGGCCGAGAATGGGAGAGTCCGTTCTACCTCTCGAAATGCTCTCACATGGCTACGCGTATACAGACACTCCCAGAGAAGTCCTACTCACTGCTCTCTCGTAAATGGAGTGTTGTTTACGAAACTGAGAGGACGAAAAGCGAATGTCCAGCGCTTTGACCGGGTTGGTGGATACAAAGGATACACCTAGGGGAGTTTGAAAACCCTGGTTCCAAAACAATGGTGCACATGGGATCCAGTATCCTGAAGGAACAAATGGCATACGAATCAATCATTGATCACCAGCTACCATGGGACTGCATCTCCTAATGTTGCTCCACTGCCGTGTAGATTAGACCTTTAGGTAAAAGGGTAGTGGAGTGACCTCCTAAGAAAAGTACCTGCTTCGGTCTAGGCACCCTGGCAGTGTCACAGCATCCACACAAATTAATGATAACTACTACTGGCCACATTTTAATTGTGTCGCGCATATGTATTTGGTGCCCCCTTTTACCAGAGTTTATGTATTCAAATTAATAATAAATAAAAGCAAGCCAAAGAGCAATAATCGACTTTATGCGTTAATGCCATGTGTTGATTTCGTCACTACAGCTTTTGACAGTAGATAAGCCCCATAAACTAATATAGCTTAACAATAAACTTGTTGCTTCTATAAAACGGAACAGAATATTAGGACAAGTAGACTAGTTGGCAATGAGTTGGATCAAGTGACAGTCTCCTCTACTTATCACGATTGATTTAAATAAACACAGGTCTTATGTCCTATCTCAGTATTGAGTGGTTGGATACTAGTGAGTGAGCCAGTGCAAAATGGATTGAAACTACAATAACTTATAAGGTTTAGAACAGATTTCATATGTACAGTTTTATCAAATAAAAATTAAAAGGACCAAAAAAATCTCAGAGTATTTGTACCTGAAGAACACTTCCTTTTCCTTATCACTACGACTCACATATGTGTCTAGGAAATCCAATGTGGATATATATGGGCCTCTAAATAACGGAATTTAAAAATTCCCAAGAAGCTTACTTGAAAGATGGGTGAGCTAGTAGGTGGTCAGAGGGTATACGCGCTTTGGGTAAACTATGCATGCAAGAGTTAATTAAAACCTGCGCAAGGTGGTAGAGAGGACCTGCAGAGACAAGAACAATTACGTGTGGAAAAGTACAAAACCTTCAACGCCTATATCAGTTATCGAACAAATCATTCGGCTAAAGCAATATATATCATAGCAGAAAGCATACGCCGGGTCAAAATTTAAAGCCTGAAAAGTGTAAAATATTTTTGTTTGACCCACTTTTGCGTCTTTTTGTCCCTTTAAAACTTCAATTCTTCGTATATGATCAGCAGACATATTCTTAAATTCCAGAGCAAACTCGAAACCGCACAACTTCCAACACATATTTGAATCAATAAATATACTGGTAGTACCCATATTATTGTGAGAAACTCCAAGCTATTTAAAGGGCTATTAGCGGACAATGAGTTACTGTATTATGCAGGAAGTTGAGAGCAGAAAGAAGACTATAGGATCCAGCTAGTAAGTCATCCATGGTAGGATTGGTAACGAAAGCACTGAATGGAACTGAGTTTTCAACTACCAGGCACAAACTATCGAGTGCATCTGAACAAGCCTTGTGGACACGAAGAATAGACGGATGACGCAACCTAACAGGTATCTTGATTAAGTTGTAGCAACAATTAAAACAACCTACCGATAAGCTAAGTAGATCATCACACGCAAGCAGGTTTGCATACTTACTCACATCACTATTCGAATCGTCATTTTTATGAGTTGTTGTCTGTGTCTTAAGGTACTTGATAATGCGAAATTTGTTATATGTAGGCTGAACGGTGTGATGGAATGAAACCTCGTAACTATCATTTTTATAAATCGAGAATCCGCCCCTCAAGCAGCCACTTTTTACTAAGTGAGTAGAGGGGTCAGAAATATTATTGCCCATATATGCACATCGATCTTCACAGGTAGGACGGCCGAGGTGCAAGCACGACCTTGAGGAGACGAGCTTTCCGCGATATCTCAAAGGAAAAAACAAACTGGAAGAAACAAAGAACGATTTGCAGAAACAGAAAACAGTTTCGATTTAAGTTTGGAAGGGACAGGAAGGTTGATGGCCTATGTTAGTCCCGACAATTATGGTCTCTCAGTTGACGGCGGCCTGCTTGAATACCTGGGCTACCTGTTTCTGCCATCTAAATATTTCAACAAGTTATTTGGGTGTTTTTTTAATTTTTTTAACCTATCATTGTGTCTGTTAATCGCATAACCTGCACAGGCGCGTTTATAAAATGTTTACGTCATTTCGCTGCAAAAATTACAAACAAGCACAATAAGAGACATCGTGGTGGTTGGCAATATGCTTTAAAGAGAATAAACATCAATCAAATGTCGATTCCCGAGCTACTTAACTCTAACTGTCGATCACTAATTAACAAGGTGGACTATCTCCAATTTCTGCTAAGTCAAAACATGTATCGTAATTGTGGTGTCATCACAATTCAAGAATCTTGGTTAACTTGTGGAGATAGAACCTTAAAAACCTATTTTGTAAATAATTTTTCATAGTTTTCGTATGTATTTTCATATTCTGTACATTAAGCATTAAACAATTGTACTTGTTGTTTAACTGTATTACTTTGAACGCTTGTAACACACTTTCCTTCCGTTGTGAGTACAACATACCGTGCCACTGTTAATTCTCCTCAATAAATACACTCTAATTCACGTCTGCATCGTTCTGCCCTGTCTGCTAATATGTTGAATGAAATATTAATTGCATACCATCTACGTTTATAGACAATTGCGACATTCTTATTGGATTCTACGCTTGGTAAAATTACTGGATCTATATCGTCCATATTGGGATTAATAATTTTGTTATAATTGTGGAGTATCTGGACCAAACCCAGCCAAACACGCAATAGCCTGAAGACTTAAGTAACGTCCCTTATTTTGTTATTTTTGTGTGTAATTACTTATTAACTGTTAATTGTTACATAAACTATAGACATAATATTTTTGTTGCTAATTTTTTTGGTTATCAAACATTTTGGTCCGCCACAATTATTTGGTGAGCCTCGATTATCTTTTTATAGACATTTACTATATATAGCTACATAATTTAGTATTCTTATTAATCGGCACGATCCCATTTTTTGTTTTTGACATTATGGACTCCCCTAATAAACTTATCGATATTGATAGCTCATTAACCAACTCCTTTCATTCACCACCGCCAGAACATAATGTTTTAAACTCAATCAACACTATTTCTGAACTGAGATTACCAACATATGGTGTTAATAATCCCAGAATCTGGTTTGCACAAGTTGAGGCACTATTTTTGGCGAGGGGCATACGTTCACAAGCGACTAAGTATGCCCACATCGTCGGGGCACTACCTATAGATGTTGCAACGAAAGTCAGTGACCTGATAGATAACGTACCAGAAATGGACCCCTATGACAAAATAAAAGCTGCAGTGATCCACCGTACTTCGCAGTCTGATGAAAAACGCTTGCAGCAACTACTCACCGCATGCGAGTTAGGGGACAAAAGACCTTCACAGTTGCTTAGACATATGAGACAACTATCAGGCCCTTACAAGTTAGACGAAGCATTACTTAAGCAGATATGGTTACAAAGGTTACCATATAACGTCAGACAAATCCTCAGCATATCAGGAGCCTCTGTCAGTCTTGATGATTTAGCAGACATGGCTGATAAGATGATAGAAATATATCCTGATAGTCACGGCGTTAGCGCGATACAATCCTCAAATGCAGAAAACATGAGCGACGCACTCAACATCCAACAACAAATAACACTGTTAACACAGCAGCTAGCATCACTACAGGCGACTGTTGCCACCATCCATTCTCGACCTCCCAGATCTATGTCCAGAAGGAGATCAGTATCCAGACATCGTCTTAGGTCACCTAAGCGGGCAGCCGGAATGTGTTGGTATCATTCGAAGTATGGTGAGAAAGCACGTTGTTGCACAAAACCGTGCAACTTTAAGACAACCAACCCAGTCTATCAGGGAAACGAAGCGGCCAGACAGTAACGGCGGCAGCTGCTACTGGCCAACATGTTAGCCGCCTATTTCACGTCAGGGATCGCATTTCTGGCTCGGACTTTTTAGTCGATACTGGAGCAGAAATCAGCATCATCCCACTCCATCTCTCCCGCAGACAACAGACAACAAGCACTAAATTGTCCTTAGTAGCGGCTAACGAATCAGTTATCAAAACTTACGGAGAACAATCTCTTATATTAGACCTCGGGCTCCGCAGAAGATTCACATGGGTATTCATAGTTGCCCAAGTCAAACGACCCATCCTCGGGGCTGATTTTCTTAGTGCGTACAACCTGTTAGTAGATATGACCAACAAGAGACTAATCGACGTAAACACACGTTTACAGGTAAATGTTGCGCTCTCCAATGACAACGAGATCCAGGGTGTTCGAATAATGAAACCTGTGAACAACATCTTCAACGACATTCTAACAGAATACCAGTGTATTACGAAATCAGATTACCAAAAGGAGAGTAACCCACAGCTGGTGCAACACCATATCACTACCACCGGACCACCCACCCGCGCCAGGGCGAGAAGACTCCCTCCAAACAAGTTGCAGTTCGCTAAGAGAGAATTCGAACATATGATGCAACTTGGAATAATCAGACAATCTAACAGTCCTTGGGCCTCGCCGCTGCATATGGTCCCCAAGAAAGATCAGGACTGGCGCCCATGTGGAGATTATCGCAGATTGAATAACCAGACGATCCCAGACAGGTATCCGATCCCTCATCTACATGATTTTTCGTTAAACCTACATGAAAAACAGATTTTTTCAAAGTTAGATCTCGTTCGAGCATACCATCAAATACCGATGGCACCTGAGGATATCGAAAAAACAGCCGTTATCACACCTTTTGGCTTGTTTGAATTCTTGAGGATGCCTTTCGGACTTAAAAACGCCGCTCAAACCTTTCAGAGATTTATGGACGAAGTAACTAGAGGATTAGATTTTGTGTTTGTATATATCGACGATGTTTTGATCGCTAGCTCTTCCACTAAAGAACATATTCAACACTTACACACGCTTTTTGAACGTTTCAAAAGTTATGATGTTGTAATCAACCCTTCAAAGTGTATATTTGGCGCATCATCACTGGAATTCCTGGGACATCACATTGATTCTCAAGGAATTAAACCACTTGAAGAGAAAGTCAAAGCCATAATCAGCTACCCAGAACCAACCTCAATAAAATCACTACGGCGTTTCCTTGGAACATTAAATTTTTATCGACGATTTTTACCCAATTGTGCCGATGTGCTACAACCCTTAACGGATCTACTTAAAAATGATAAATCGTGTAGCAAAAAGAAGAACCAACAATTCCAGTTATCCTCTGACGTCAAGATGGCATTCGAAAAAGCGAAAAACTTGATCGCTGATGCTACTATGCTACAACACCTAAACACTGACCCCCAAACGCATCTGATCCTGTGTACGGACGCATCCCAAAAAGCTGTAGGGGCAGTGCTACAACAACGGGTTAATAACACGATTACGCCAATCGCCTTTTTCTCTAAACGGTTATCACCTGCCCAAGAGCGGTACAGCACATTTGGGCGAGAACTTTTAGCTATGTACTTAGCTGTCAAACACTTCAATTTTCTACTACAGGGCCGTGACTTTACTATTATGACGGACCATAAACCCCTGTGTTACTCATTTAATATGTCATATGATAGACACTCTCCACGTGAAGCGAGACAACTCGATTATATCTCGCAATTCACCACAGACATCCAGTTTATCAAAGGCCATACCAACATTGTCGCAGACGCATTGTCTAGAAAGGATATCAATATGACGGTACTTAATCAGGACATCAAACTTGAAACCTTAGCCAAATTACAAGCAGACGATGCAGAATTGAAGGTCTGTAGAGAAAAGTTTAGCTTGAACCTAAAATCGGTACCTATTCCTTTCTCAGACGCATCCATAATTTGTGACACTTCAACAGGCAATAATCGCCCTTTTGTCCCTCAGGCTTGTCGACTAAAGTTATTCCAACACTTGCATGGTTTATCACATCCGGGCATCCGAGCTACTACAAAGCTGATAACTGAACGTTTTGTTTGGCCGAAAATCAATTCAGATATTAAACGTTGGACACGTGGTTGCCTTCAGTGTCAACGTAGTAAGATCCAAAAGCATACTATTAGTCCAATCGGAAAATTTCCTATTCCGGATAGACGTTTTCAGCACATCCATTTAGATTTAGTAGGACCTCTACCTTCGTCAAATTCTTTTACTCACATCCTCACGGCAATAGACAGATTCACTCGATGGGCCATTGCATGCCCCATCAAAGACACATCAGCTGAGACTGTAGCATCCGTTTTACTAGACCGATGGATATCGCACTACGGTGTACCAACAACCATCACAACTGATCGTGGTCCTCAGTTCCAGTCTATCCTGTTTCAGGAGTTCACAAGACTTCTGGGCGTAAAACACATCATCCTGGACTTTACTTCTGCTTTTGATTCCATTCCAAGACACCTCTTACTTAACAAGCTGATCAGCGTCGACACTGACAGCTGGATAACCAATTGGCTATGTTCCTACCTTTCTGGAAGAGAACAGTACACTGTATTCGAAGGAAAGTGTTCAACATCTCTACTGTCTACTGTAGGTGTGCCACAAGGAGCTGTTCTTTCACCTCTGCTCTTCTCTTTCTTTTTGCATGATCTGCCATCTTCCACAGAAAACACTTGTAAAATATGCGGACGACCTCACCGTATGTATGCCAATTTCTACCTCCTTACATCCTAGAGAAATGAATGACTTTTTATCTCGTATTGAAAGGTGATCTGTTGGTAATGGTCTCTTACTCAATCCATCTAAATGTCAAGCTGTTAA